GCGCGACCCATGTCCTGAGATTCCAAGTGCTCCACATGCTGTCTTCAGAACTGAGATAGGTGAGTTGGAAGCAATGCGAGTGCCATCAATGAGAATCTCATTTTGACCTGCAACCAGCGGTTCTGGATCCATAGGCTCATCATCAGCCTGTGGAACTTGTGGCTGCACTGGTTGCTGGCTTGCATCAGCATGTGACTCGCCTTCCCGAGCTGGCTGTGCACGTACATCTGGGAATGCATATCCAAGCTGTTCTGGAGTGCACTCAGTTGCATGTCCAAGTGTGAGCACTTCCTCAACCGTGCTTGGAGCTACCAAAGGGGCAGTCAGCGACTCCAAGGCGCTGACCAATTGATTTGCTTCTTCAACATCCCAAGCACCATTGCGCTTCACCAGAGTTGTCCTATACCACAAAAGCGTTTCTGAAGGTGCCATGGAAACATCCACATGAAACGGCTTGTTGGCCCTTATTCCAAACAATGAGGGCCGAGCTTCTGCCAACTCCAACGCATTCCTGAAAGCGTTGGGGTGAGTGTGATCACTCTCAAAGGCGCGGGTTGGCCTTCAGGTCTTTGCAAAACTCGGATAGCTTGTCTGATGCACAAAGAGTTGCGTTTCAAACCAACTGCAATTCGGTCTGAGCCTCTAACCAAATTCATGCCGTGCTCGTCTGTGGTCAGTTGCCATCCCATTCGCATGAGACGTCCTAAAGCAACAAGAGGGCATGTGACAGAGGCAACGATGAAGTCCTCTTCCAAGGAAATGCCATTGCAGGTGATTGTTGCAGTTCTCCTGTTTCTCACATCTATAGGGTCTCCCTGTGCATCCACGAAATACATATCTCCTGAGGTCGATGCTTGATGGCCCATGTGGCCATACGCAAGTGGCAATGCCGAGCCATCCGCACCGCTGTCCAGGATTATGTCCAGATCAGCATCGCCTCCCAGAGATTCAAGCGCACGAACATGTGAAATGAGATCAGGTGCACATGACCACATGTCATATATGTCTGAATATGTCATGTCGAACACTTCAACTGAATCGCACATGTATGCCGCATCTGCTGCACAGTCATCAGTCTCATGTGAAACATTGGTCACTGCACGAATGCAACTCATCTGCAAATCATCATTTGGAAAAGCAAATGAAGCATCTGAAAATTCATATTCAGGTTCTGGACATGCCGGATCCCACAAAGGCACATGCTCCACACGTCTGATCTGTCCGCCAGCTGCAATATCAATCTGAGGTTGGGCTTGAGCTTGAACATGAGATGCTTGAGTCTGCAAACCAGAAGTCGGTACAGTGCTTGCCAAACTGTATGCTGTGTCTGCTCGGTATGAGGTCGCTGAAGAAACCGAAGGTTCTGATGCAAAGGGTTCCTCAAACTGGCGCACATGTCCTGTCTGTTTGTCATGCTGCAACTTCCTGCAATCTCTCTTCCAATGTCCAGGCTTCCCGCAACACAAACAGCAGTTGTTGGTAGGTCGTTGGTCGTTCTGGTTGAACTTGCCTTTCCCCTTGCCTTTGTCTTTGCCTTTGCCTTTTGACTTGCCTTTGCCAAACTCATACTTGCCTTTTCCTTGGCCCTTTCCTTTGTGACTGCCCTTGAACTGGTTGAGCTGTCGCTGACCCCATTGCATCTGGTCAATCTCCATGGGTGTTGGTCCAGTTGTTGCACCAGGTGTTCCTGCAGAGGTTCCTGTTGAAATGCCGAATTCGCTGTGAATGCGTGAAGTGCTCCAGTTGGCGGTGACAGATTCAAAGCTCAAAACTTTGGTTCTCTCATCTGCATATGAACTTGCATCATCCAAAGAAAGTTGCACATGCTGCCGAATGTGTCCAGGCAAACAGCGAACTAAGATCGACAGAGACGAACCAAATGTTACCACATGGCTACAAAGCCTTCAAACAGCGCAAAGTGAAATATGGCCTCCAAGACCAGCAACAAGATACTGAAATGAATCTGTGGCCTCCAAGGCCTGTAGCTGGAAATTGCACAAGTCAAGCAGTCAGTGGAAAAACAAGCTATGGCTGGCACGGGCGCAGGTGAAAAGGGGCTTGCCTACTTGTTAAAGAAAAGGGGTGCCCGCGGAGGTGTCAATCACTCGTGGACCGACAGCGCTCCGCTACCATCATTTGGTTTCACCGTGAGCACAAACGCCTGCCGGGTGCATATCCTTCACTTGGTCATAGCCATAAGGCCAAGGTCCAAACTGCACATGCAAGTGTACAAAGCATGCAACCAAAAGCGTGTTACTAAGTGATAAAACACTACGTACGCGGTCACATGGTAAGTGCTAAATTGTCTTCAAGTTTGCAATGCGCAAAGTGTGGGCAGCTTTTCTTGTGCGCAGAAACACCAGCCAATTGCCTGAGCTAATGCCCACAAAAACCCACCACGCACACACACACACGCTTGCTGTTGCAAAGCCAGGCAGGTGGAGTGGTGGTGCTGTTTGCGTTGCTTTGAGAAGACCTTGCCAACCGACAGGTGGGTAGGGCCAGGCGCTCCTCAGCAATAAGCTGAGAAGGCTACATTGTGGAAGCTGGAACAAATAGCCCGGTGAGGTTTCTTGCTGTTTGCTAGAGCCAGGCCAAGCCAAGGAAAAGGGACATTTCATCAGGCTGCCTGCTTGAAAACCTCCTACTTGCCAAGTTCTCAGCGTGGCGAAGCCAGCCAAACAAGTCTGGCCACTGGCTCAACATTCGGTGTGTCTTTTTCAGGAAACTTGGATTTGTTTGGTTGAAAGGATCCAAGAGAGGGCGCAGGATGCGTTTGTGCTTTTCACCCGCTTTCCGAAAGCTAAAGCAATTTTGGCCCAGCCCTCCGGCAGGGGGCTTTCCCAGTCTGAATCCAAGAATCCGAGGCTTCCGCTGAAGGACTTCAGGCAGCCAAATAGCACTCCCGCCAGCCAAAGCTTCTAGTCGAATTGCTCCAAGGTGAAAAACATGGGAGCAGCTTCCTTGTCCTTGGCTAGACTGCATGCCGCCCGCATCAACCAAAGTGTTTGTTCCGCAAGATTCAAAACACTGTTTGTGTGTGCGTTGCGATGTGGTTTCAATCAGGGTGGAACGGAGTTCATCAATCTCGAGGAGGTCGCAAAGATGAAACGCCGACGGCCCCCTTGTGGTGGGTCCTCTACCTTCCCCTGAGGACCCGCCTTTCGCCGCGGCACCGACCCTTCTCTGCACCGGCTTGTCCTGCGACCCGAAAAGACTTGCCAGCCTCGTCTGGCGAGAGGTGGGCTTTGGGCGCTCTCCCTCCGCCCAGTCTTTTGCAACACTGCGTGCGTCCTCACACGCTGACCACAGAGTGGACGCTACCACTCGAGTTGCTTGCAAGTCCAAAATTTCGAGCTGCGTCATTATTGCTTCAACCCCCGGCCAGCCAAATCTCAAAGGCATGGGCTTTGCGAGCCCCCAATTCAAACGGCGCCTGCTCAGCGAGCCAGCCATCAACTGCCGCGCGCAGAGCTGCCTGTTGGGGCTGTTTTTGGAAGGAAAGGGCCTCTTTGGGCAAAGTCCTGGAACAGTTGGAGGTTAGTCAAACGAGTCTGCGGGCCTGCTCAGCGCAGCTTAGAGAAAGCAGCCGCTTCCCCTTCGAGGATTGTAGCTACGAATCCCGGCATGATGTCCTGGCTGGCCACTTCCTCTTCCAGGGCTATATAATTCCACAATCCGTCGCCTACATGACCTTCATCCAAAAGGTTTACAGCATGTGTTTCCTTCTTAGCTTGACAAGGATTCCGACAAATTTGGAGTCGACATTTTTCTGATGGTGCGCCACAACCAGGTAATCGACATGGACAAGACCATCACCAACGCGAAATCCTGTGCAAGCATTTCAACATTCCGGAACACAAGGGTCCGCCTCATCCTTTGGAGAAGGAAGCACCTGATGACGGATCCTGCGAGCTTGGCACGTAGGATGAAAGGCTCAAGAGGAACCAAATCGTTCCTCAACACAGGTGGATTGACAGCATCCCATCACCATCCACGAGTACAGCACTTCGTCACCTACCCCACCTACCCCACCCACCCCACACCCCACCTACCCCACCCACCCCACCCACCCCACCTACCCACCGACCCCACCTACCCCATCCACCCCACTCCCCCCACCCACCTCACCGACCCCCTACCCACCTACCCACCCACCCCACCACCCACCCCACCCACCCCGCTCACCCCATCCACCCCACCTACCCCACCTACCCCATCCACCCCACTCTCCCCACCCACCCCACCTACCCCACCCACTCACCCCATCCACCCCACCTTCCCACCTACCCCACCTACCCCATCCACCCCACTCTCCCCACCCACCCCACCCACCTCACCGACCCCACCCACCCCACCTACCCCACCTACCCCACCCACTCACCCCGTCCACCCCACCTACCCACCTACCCCACCTACCCCATCCACCCCACTCTCCCCACCCACCCCACCCACCTCACCGACCCCACCCAACCCACCTACCCCACCTACCCCACCCACTCACCCCATCCACCCCACCTACCCACCTACCCCACCTACCCTGCCTACCCCATCCACCCCACTCTCCCCACCCACCCCACCCACCTCACCGACCCCACCCACCCCACCTACCCCACCCACCCCACCCCATCCACCCCACCTACCCACCTACCCCACCTACCCCATCCACCCCACTCTCCCCACCCACCCCACCCACCTCACCGACCCCACCCACCCCACCCACTACCCCACCTACCCCACCCACTCACCCCATCCACCCCACCTACCCACCTACCCCGCCTACCCCATCCACCCCACTCTCCCCACCCACACCACCCACCTCACCGATTTCACCCATTTCATTCACTTACCTATTTACTTTATTTATCCACTTACCTTATCCACCCCACCTACCCACCTACCCCACCTACCCACCTACCCACCTACCCCCACCCCACCCACCCCACCTTCCCCACCCACCCCACGCACCCCACCTACCCACAGACTCGCGGAAAAGGCACTCCTCATAGGTGGGGTTGAGGTTGGCCGGCTCCAGCACCTGGATGCCGCCAGCCATGCCCACGTCCCCCTCGTTGAACTCGATGCGGTCCTGCCCCCCGGAAACCAAAGAAAAAACCCAAAAAAGCCGACACCAAAAAAACAAAAATCAACAAGGGGAGCTCATCCTGGGGAAGTTGAAAGGGCCCAACTGATCCTATGGATCTTCAAGGGGACCCGGATCCGGCAACCCATTGCGAGGAAATGGAAACACCCAGAACCCCACGGAGTCTCTGAGAAAGTGGCCAGTCCTCTTCTTTTTTGGTTTTTGCGTGCCCCATGAACAAGTAGGAACAAACAAATGCGGAACATAGAAGTGAATGTCACTGTCTTGGAGATCAAAGTGATGGCCTTGATCCGGCACCTAAGACAAAACATGTCTTCACCACCAGGTGGCAAGATACCAAGCGCTTCTTGGCGTGTGCTTAAAAGAATGACACAAAACGGGGGATGTTCTGAAAATTGCTCGATTCCCCCAAGCATCTCCCCCCCAAAAAAAAGAAGAAGAATCAACAGGTGCCATTGCTCGATTCCTCCTAACTAACCCCCCCTCCCCCCCAACAATAATTTCCCCGAGCATCCCCCCCCCCCACCGGTAGAAAAAAACAAATGCATTCCCCCAACTGACCCCCGCCCCCCCCCCCCCCCAGCAAAAAAAAAACAGTGCCCTCCCAACCCCCCGAAACATTGTGTTCTTCTCCAGCAGCTCAGTTGCCAAAGGACCCGAAAATAAAAGGCGATCACCTTTTGGGGCCACTAAAAATGGATCAAAATGGCGAAAGCCAAAAGTTGTCACTTCAGGCCGTCCTTGGGCAACTAAGGCTCCTATCCGAAGCCCTCCGTTTGCTGAAGTCCCCTAAACCAAAAGCCGCCCCCCCCGCGCCCCTCGCGAGCGCCTCCAGCTTGAGGCTGGCCAGGAAGGCCGCCCACTTCCTGGGCCTTTGGGAGCGGATGGTGTCCACGGTGACGCTGCTGCGGGCCAGCTTGGCGTAGCCCTCCATGTCGCCGTAGACCGTCTTGTACGCCCCTGGCCATTTGTGACCCAACGTTGAGTCAAAAAAAACTGTATCTACTTCTTTTTGTCTTTTTTTAATCAGGCTTTATGAGAGCCCATGGCTCTGTTTGGTTACATCTGAAAGGCTGAACAGTGAAGGATCCCAGTTGGGAACAGAGTTATCTCTATCTCTCTCTCTCTCTCTCTCTCTCTCTCTCTCTCGGTAAGCCGCACCATCGGTAAGCCGTCCACCAGAGGGGTGCCACGAGGGGGACAGAGTATTGATAAACGTCTATCTACAATTGTAAGGCTCACAAGTGAAAGATCCCCACTCAAAGGGGACTACTAGTAATCAACCAGTGGTTGAGTAATCCTGGGTTGCCCGTGCAAGCCTCTCACATTGACGAAGGAGGTACCCAAACGAAGGAGGCACCCGGCCCCACCACAAAAACAAAATGGGCTGAAAAAAACAGGAACGCATGGACACTGAACCGTCCTTAGGGCTCGGGTAGGCGCGTGCAGCTTGACATGATCTGCAGGCAATGATGCAACTAGCAGAAGTTTGCGCAATAAGTTCACTCGACCTGGTCTCCGGTTCATGCTGGCCATGAGCATGGAACTGAACTGAAACAAACCTGAAACCAAAGTCCAAGTAGTGTCCAAAATGAATCTGCTTTCACCACCAGGGTTGCGCAAGTTCTCGGGGGTGGTTGGAAACGACTCAAAACACGAATGAAAACGTTAGTCAAAGCTCTTAGCCGCGTCATTCTCCCAATGGTACGCCAAGAACTATGAAGCTACTGCTCCCTCAGAAATCCTTACGGCATCACAAGGCCTGAAGGCCTCTCTGAAAGTATCGGTCACCACTTCCTCCACCAGTCTGAATCCTTCAAGTTTGCCTCGAACGGCCCTGTCGATCCGAACGGCGCGATGGTTTTGCCTGTCAGCTGCGCCACCAGTAGGTTCGCCAGAAAGATCAGGGTGGTAATGCAGAAGATCACCAGCAGGGAATATACCCGGGGGAACTCCCGGAGCGCTACCTAGCGACAAGCCCCCACGCCATGGCCGTACCAGTGAAACATCCCAATCCAACCACTAAAATAGACTAAGATGGGCCGTGCACCTACCCCAAAATGGTACCATTGGTTTTGACCCACAGCCATACCTATACAGTTGCACCTACATATTTACAAGCACATGTGTTTTTTTACATTTCTCTAAACATGCGGCGCTGACTGTGGCGGCATCTGCAATTTTGCACCCTACCTCGTCTTGGGGGTGGCGAATGCAGATGCTTGAGGACTGGGTTTGCCGACTTGTTCGAGTCGGCGGTTCAACTTGTGGGAAAATGGTCTCGTGTTACAGCATCGTAGCCGTCCATCCTTATGCAAGCAGATTTGTTCCGTGCCGGGCGAAGGAACCGCTTCATCGGCTTGGAGCAGTTTTTGACAGGGTTGACTCGGTTTGCTGTTGACCCCCCTGCAAAAAGTTTTTAACTTCTTGGGGGTTTGGTGGAAAACCCAACTTGATTTCCCAAAAAGTTAAATTCTAAAGATCCAACCCAGTAGCAGTGAAGTTAAGAACTTGCAAGCCTTGAGAATGGAAGAGCGCTTAACGTGGCTCGAGCTGGGACATTCTCTTGGACCCGTGGGCACTACAGAACTGTTTTGGGAGAAAAGTGCGAACCCCCGCGGAAGAGGCGCAGAGAGAAAGAGAGAGAGAGAGAGAGAGACAAAAAGAGAGAGAGAGAGAGAGTGAGAGACAAAGAGGGACGCCAGTTGACCCTAGTGTTAAGCGTCTACCGGGCAGCGGCAGGCTGGCTGAAAACTCTTAACTCTTTGCTGCATATGCCCTCTGCATAAAACAATCGCGCAACATTCATTCAAAAGCATTGTGGAGGGCCGCGCGAGCGTGCACAAGACAGAACATGCACAAAAGAAATCAGACAGAGAACTTGCGCAAAGGAACTTGCACGCAGAAGGCAACACAAGGGGTTCGGGGCGCGAGGGGCGAGGCTTGGTTCGCGAGGGCTTTACACTACAAGGAGTCCAGAAGGAAAATTGAAAATGCGGGGCTCTTTGCAGATCTGCGCACCAAAGCCAGTTTCAGCCTTTGATTTAATCTGGGGTTCGGGGCGATACGTTAATCCCTTGAAAGCTCAGCCAAAGCGAAATATGTGCTTGCGAATGGGGAGCTGCCCTTGCGCACAAGCTGCGGGTGGGTGCAGTCGGTTCAACCATAGGCTGCCCATGTTGCAACCATGTTTTTGGCAAAACAGGTTTTGCCCATGATGCAGGCCCGCTATCATGGGATGGGTGAAGTACAAGGTGCAAAGCGCTTGTTCTCGTACATGCCCAGGATGATCCTCAGCAAGGAGCCGGCTCCTGGAGCAGTGCCAAACATGGTGACTGGCATGAGACCAGCATCGCCAGCACGGATGTCTTGCAAAAGGAATGCCCGCCTAACACAAGGAAAAACACATCTTAAGCGTAACACGGGTTTTGGCGGCTCAGTGTCCAGGTGTCTTTCTGTGTTCGGTGCGCCGCTGACGGCGACCGTGAGGAAATGACGAAAGGAACTTGAGCAAAGCTCAAAGAGAGAGACTCGCGCAATGCTCAGAGAACTGGCTCGCGAAAATGTGAAAGAAACTGGTGAGAAATTGCTCGGAAAGCTTCAAAAGAACTCGGTCAGTCAAAGGTGGTAATACTTCAGAAGCCCGGCCCTCAAATAAAGCGTCAAGGCCCCACCAAGTTGCTGGACATTTCGGGGCTCCACAATGATTGCTAGGGCTAAGTGAACAAATATAGTTTGATACTAGCAAGTCCTTACTCCTGCGATACCTTGAAACATACTGCTTTCCCTTGAAATCGGTATAGACTCTATAGCTAAGGATTGAACACATACAGTACATAGTTATATACATATATTATCTATATACACATCTAGTTCCCTTGAAATCCTTCACGCCTTCAAACCGCAACCTGGTCATGCGTGAGTCGCGAGCCATGAAGCGTTCGCGCGCACCAATCAGATAATCACATGGCGTTCGAGTCTAGAGGGTTGTGGGATCACTCGGGGTTTATCCAACCACTTCTGTGATACAAGTTGGAATCTCCCCCTCTATATGGAGGGTTAGTCTTTGTGAAGCCCTTTGTGTTGTATCACAGAAGTGGTCATTTCCTACAGCCCTGAGTCTAGAACCCAGCTGGATGTGCATCCTTACGAGGGTGGATTTCTCTCCCTCTCTCTCTGCCGTTGCGTCCAAAGAGTCTTGACTCAGCAACGAAAAAGGTGCCCCCCTGATATTTAGGGGCACCAACAACATGGTGGATTGAACCACTGGAATTGAACATGGCGAATTTCGCGCCCCTTCCCATTCTGTACCATCTTTCAAGATTTGAGTCACAATCAAAATCCGGTATTAAAATGGTCGACCCAGAACCATGCTTCAAGAATTAAGAAGGCGGATGTCCGCAACTATTTCCGGCTGGGCTGCCCCTTACTAACTTTCACGTACCCGGGTTTTGATTGTGGCTCATTTGGTGTCCGACATGCTTTTCAAGCCCGAGCCGATTTGGTGTCTGGCATGCCTTCCGCAAAACCCGAGCCGTCGAACCGCGCGGCGACAAGAACCACTCCTGCTGGGATGGTGTAAAAATCCACCAGGAAGGTGCCAAGGCTGGCTATCGCGCAGGAGAAGGCCGCGATGAGAAAAGTCACCGCCACTTAGACCGCAAGCTCTGAAACGGGACCCGGGATGTGGGGTGTGTCCAGAACCAGCAGCCCCAAAAAAGAGGCCCTACAAAAGGGCCCGGCGATGGGTAACGCAGTAGTGGTTGGACAAAAGACCGTCAAATAGTGGCAAAACTCGTGTGCGGTGGCAGTAGCCCGCATCTGTTTGTGGATGATAGTTTCGGAGGGTGTTAGTGCAAAATGCCCAACTTCAAAAAACACACACACATGACATGATTGAACGAACGCCCTGATATGGAACCAATCCGCAAGCCTTGAAGGATGCATGACTTAAACACATTGATGGAGGCTACCTTCACTATCAACTCCTCGGGATAAAGCCATCTAAGGAGACCCCACTCTTCACTGCTCGCTGGAAAGTTTGGCACTCACTCACGGACAGGTCAGCAAAGTAGAAGCTAAACATGCCGTCTCAACACAAGTTGGGCTCTTTCTGGGACTCCAGACGGGTCTGCCTTTCTTTGGGCTATCTACCCCCGAAAAAGGCTTGGTTGAAAAGGAAACCAACAGGAACCCAGCCATTGTGTTTTTTTGTTCTATTTTGAAACATTTTAAACTGGAGTAAACCAACTCACAACCGACTTTCACAAGTCCAAACCTCTAATCATCTTACCATCCAATCACAATGGAATATGTTGTCGTGTTTGCTTTTTGGTGGTTGGCTCCTGTTTCCGTGGTTGTGGCTTGCCCGCCTGTCAAGCCAAAAAATGTCCCATGTATTTATTTTGGGCCTAGGGCTGTCCTGCTCATTTTGCAGCACAAAGAGACAGGGCTTCAAACCAAACTGGTCCTCTGAAGCGCAAACAAGGCTTTCCCAAACATTGACATGAACAACGTGTGCAAACCAGCATGACAAGTTGGAGGAAGCCAAACAGAACCTCACCACTTGGATCCTGCTTTTCCTTCAGCCGACCTGACCTAACAAAAACGGGTCCCCCACTATGTGTCTTGAACTTGGAACAACCAAGTCCTCCGGTGCTCAATTTACTAGATGGCGCCACCCACCAAATGCCAACATGATGCGAAGATAAGTTGTGGCACTTGTGACACTTGTGACTCGCTTCGTGCTTTGCTCTATGGTGTTTGACTGTGGGAAGCCTCGCAATTTGGAGATGTCAGGTAGCTGTGCTGCATTACGTAGCGCGACGGAACCAAAGGGAAACCACAGTGACTATGGCCCATGGCTCTCTGTGCTCGGGGCCTTCCGCACTTGGCTCACCAAAAAGAATGTGGAGTCGGCAGGGTCCTACGTTTGGCGCTAAAGAATGAGAGCAATAATGCAAGAAAGACTGCAAGCAAGAATGCAAGCACTGCAAAGCAAAGGAAAGCCAGCAAGCAAGCCAAGACAAGCACAGCAAATACAAAGCAAAGCAAAGCAAGCCAAGCAAAAACAAAGCAAAGCAAAACATGTGTTTTCCAACCAAAAAACCAAAACGAAGCAAAGCCAAGCAAGGCAAGCCAAACAACAATGCAAGCAAGAATGCAAAAAGAAAGAAAACATACATGCAAGCAAGCAAAGCAAAGCAAGCTAATGAAAGAAAGCAAAGCAAAGCCCAAGCAAAGCCTAGCAAGCCACGCCAGGCAAAGCAAGGCCAGCAATCCTTAGGATTTGTTCTCCCACGAAGCTGAAACGGCCCTCAGCGCCCTCAGCCCCTCAGCCCCTCAGCCCGGGACGGCAGAAATGGAACAACTCCACGAGGACGCGGAGGCAGGTCAAGAGGTATGCACAGACCCGCAGGGAAAAAATGCAGAGGTCCGTCAGCAAGAGCCAGTGCAGCCTGGGCTGGATGCGTCAAGACATGGCATCAAGGGGTTCGGCCAAAAAAAAAAAACACAAACGTGCGGAGCGCCGGCCTGAAGCCGCACAAGCTGCGATAGCATGTTGGGGCCATCGATTGCCCCACTCTCGACTTGTGGCGCGTTGGAGTTTCAATGAGCCTGCCATGCTAAGATTTAGCCTGGCATGGGTTCATCGGTCTCCAGGATCCCTTGAACGTGCACGCTGTGATTTGGCCTGATATGCATTCATTGGCGAGTCAAGGACAGCACACACTAAACATGTGGGTAAACCTCTGTGTCAGGGACCGGGGCCTCGCATTGCCACTTGTGCTTGCCAGAAACTCCTACCCAAAAGGGCTGGTGGTGAGTCCCCAATTTCATTCCCGTTTTCCCCCCCACCAAAAGGGGAAAACTGAAAACAGGAACCCGCGGATTTCCAGGGCCCATTCTGTTTGAATGCCACGTCCCAGCCCATTGCGACCAGGCAGCAGGACGGAGAGCTGTGAGAGCACGGAATACACCTGGACGCTGCGCTCATTTTGCCTGGACCCTTGCTTCCCGCGTCGCGTGCCCGGAAATCCGTGGTCCAAGGTCCAAACATTCCGGTGTTTTGGGTCCAAACGGCATTGCCGCGCGAGGGTCCATGAAGTGACAAGGCACACACATTGAGGAGACGAAAGCCCTGCGATCAGGGCTCCTCATGTTTTTCCACAAAGATGGGGTGTACGACACCCCGTGGCACCACCAATCACGACCTAATCTGTCCGAACCGGATGCCGGGCTGATTCTTTCACTTCTAGTGGGCTACATGGAAACCCCCGCTGCGCCCTAAAAATGCTAAAAAAAAAATCTCAGGGGATGGCTGGAACCAAGAAACTATGGTAACGCCCAGTCATCCAAGCTCCCGATCCAAGTGTGTGCTAAGAGCCCGGAGGAAAAACATACTCTTGGGCCATGACGGAAACCCGCGTTTTGCCCAAACCGGGGGTTCATTCCCAACACCCCCTCGCTCATCCCCTACTGAGCACCAAGGAAAAAAACATGCTTTGGCTGGCTTCCTGGTGGGAGCTGACCTCCTTACCAAACTGATGCCGCAGAAAACCGGTCAAACATCCCCCCTACCTTAAGTTCTTCAGTCTTCCCGGCAAAAGGGAAAATGGAACCCTAAACGGAATTCCGGAGATCACCCCCCTCCCAATTCCATTTTGAAGTGGGGGGGGATGGTCAGACTCCTTACACCAGGGGCGTTTTGCTGTGTCAGGGGGCATTTTCCCGCGCCACAGCCGCAGGGCAGTGGGTGGTGAAAAGCCCCGCGCCAGGAAAGTCACCATACCTGGCTGATGTTCGGATGTCACGTGGCCAAAGCCAGCTCAAAATGAGGAGGTCAAGCATGGTTGTACTGTCACTGGGTGTCCCTTCTAAAGTTGGAATTTACTGGTGGTTTCCCTTGAAACTGCTGGGAAATGGAGGAGGGATATCTATTTAGCGGCCGGAAACTAACATCGTCGAGGATGGCTTTGGTCATTGCGCTCTGGGACCATCCCTGGGCTGTTCTCAGATCCCCTGCTCAAAGTTTGACTTTTAATCACCACCACAAAACCCTAAAAAACTAAACCCTAAGGGCATGGCTGGGAGCCACCAAGCTACTACGGCTTGATTGCTTCATAGCGGTGTGGCATCTCTGACAACTGTCACGCCTGAAAGCAGCAGGCTGCGCTCTCACTGGATTTGCCCTTCAACAGTTGCACCCACTGGGTTTCGAAGAAGAAGCCATGTTGGAGGTCTGATCAATGAGAGCACGGGTTTTCCGGAAACATGCCGGCAAGATGCATGTCCTGCAGGCACGCGAAAATTGGCTCTTGTGTGCACATCAGCCTTGGCCATAGTCACTGCCAGTGCAGCCATACCAAAGCCATGCAACGCCAAGCACGTGTGATGGCTACCTCACATCCCCATTCCCCCATTCACCCATTGCATGCCAAACAACACAAGCAAGCCCCATCCAAAGCTGACCCTGTCTCTGCCTCCGTGAGCGCGTGTGCTTGCATGTGTGTGTGTGTGTGGGTTTGTGGGTGGGTGGGTGTGTGGGTGTGTGGGTGTGTGTGTGGGTGTGTGTGTGTGTGTGCGCGTCTGCGTAGGCGTGTGTGTGTGTGTGTGTGTGCGCGTGCGTGGGCTGGCTTGTGTTTATTTGCCTACGTGCTGATGCTTGTTTGGCATGTGTGTTGTTTTCTTTCGTGTGTTTGGTGGCCTTTCCGTCCTTGCGTATGTTTGTATACATATATGTGTACATATCTATATATATATATATGTGTGTGTGTGTGTGTGTGCGTGTGTGGGTGTGGGCGTGGGCGTGCGCGCGCCCCCCGCCAGCCCATGGGCTAGAGGTGTGAGAAGGGTTTAGGCTTGAAAGCCTTTGGAAAGGACTTGGTCGGGCGTTGAGTGATCAAATAAACTGCTTTGGAAGCTGCTCCTGCTACGAAGGCTTCGGTGGAAAAAAGAGGAAAATTGAGAAGGCACTCACCCCCGGAGAAGGCACTGTGCGTTATCTTACCGTAACGTACATCATGCTCAAAGTGTCTGACAGTGCCTTCTCATTTGTTTTCAGTTCCAAAAATATAAAAGGACCTTCCGCCACGTGCGGAAAGCACGGTGCCCTGCCCTGAGCACAAACGCATACAATTCAAAGGAATCGCAAGGGCTTCGGACTCCGCGTTCTGCCGACACACGGCAAGCAAGTTCAGATACGGCACGTATAAAAAGCCTAGGGATTGGCCCTTGTATTTTCTGATCCGCAGACACATAAAGACACACACACACACACATATGAGAACCCCTGAGAAGGCACACGATTTTTGAGGAAGCCCGCAAAATTTAGGGGGACGCGTGTCCAGAGTTTCGAGTGCTTTTTGTTGTAGCTTTAGGTGTTTTGTTGGTTGACATGTTTATTTGTAATTGACTGTGTCTTTGCTTCTGTGCGTGCTGCTGTTTGCCTTAGTAGGCGTTTGTGTGACTTGCTTGTGCTTTGTGCATTGCGCTTGTGTGATGCAGTTGGTTGCGCTTTGTTGCTCGCTTGCGTTTGCTTGGTTGTTCGTTCGTTGGTGTTTGTGTGTTGGTGTGTTTGCCTGTTTGCTTGTTTGCTTGCTTGCTTGCTTGCTTGTTTTTCAGCCACTCCAGCCCAAGCCTGGGTCATTGGCCTGACCCCCAGCCCAAGAAACGAGCCGACGCCTTGACCCAGGATCCACCGAGCGGCAGCATGACAAAGACCAAGAACAGCTGGGAGAGGGTCGTCAAGTTGCCCAGGTAGGCTGGCATGGGAAGAACTCCGGCCACGTAGACGAAGGAACGCCGTCGCACGTCTTTGACGCTCAGCCAAACGTGGCCTCAGGCAACAAAGGAGCTCCTCACCTTCCCGAAAGGTAACTCAGTTGTTCAGTGACGCTGGAAAAAAGGGGAACCCTTTTGGGGGAAGATCATTTTTAGTGGGGCAGCCCAAAAAAAACACCAAAAAACACAGAAAAATAATTGGTGCCACTGAAGAACTGAGGTAACAACCCGCCTCGTTTCGAAAGCCGGGCTCGCTTCGAATCAACAGTTTCTGGGCCCAGCGGCTGAAGAGCAACGGTCCCAAGTCAGCCAAGTAGGCGACCATTCGACCTGAATGAGAATGACATGGACTGACATCATCTAAGGGATTTGTTTGTATTCACCCTGGGAATACGCCCACTACATTTCCAGATAAAACTGTGTTATTTTGCACCATTCTGGGTCACTTCCCTTTTCGCCGTCAGAATGTGCTCAGAAAATCAAGTATAAGACAGAGCTGAAGGAGTGTGGGGGGGGATCCCGCTATAGCGGCCGGGCCATTGTTTGGAGTGCTGGCAAGGTTTGACCGGCTCATAGAGCTGGCTTGCCAACTCCTGATGTCTGAGGGTTTTTGTGTTGCACCCTGGGATTACACCCTTCCACAAGCTTTGCCAAGGTCCACTGCATTACTTCCGCACATGGCGGACGGCAAGGCTTTCCAGCTGGCTCCGCACTTTGCTTGCGAGAATCTGTGTCGCTTCTCAATAAAAAAAACACCTTGCTATCAAGGGGCCTGGCGGCGGGGGAGGCCTTGTTAAGGGCTTAGTAAGAGCCAATTTGGGATGCCTTCCCCCTCCGGCCTTCATTTTCAATTTTCAACGGAAGGGCAAAAGGTTTTCGCCAGGAACCTTCCATTTGCTTGAGCCCCATGGAAAAAAATGAATATTTTCAGTAGTGAAATCGATTCCCTTTAAAATCAACTGCGGAGAACAAAAAGCATATTCTTAAACAAATGGCTGTTCAGTATTTCTCAATATGTACCCATAATGGAACCCTGGTAAATGGAAACAAGGACTCAAACCTGCGGCCCATATCCTGGTGGTTTCATTTTGACCCATATCTCTTTGCTGCCCGCGCCGCTGGCAAAGAGCGCCGCTCGGTGAGCGTTGGTCTCTTGCTGCACGTTCACGCGCGGCAAGATGCTCTGAGACACCACCACCAGCACCACGAGGAAGAGGAACACGATCCTGATGGGGTCAATACCCAGTCTGTGTATTCCCAGGGTGTAATACAAAGACCCTTAGAGAGTAGAGTTGAGACTTGAGACTAATCAACTGGGGTTTCTTTTTATGCATGGGGGTTACTACTGTGGATGGTTGCGAAATCCATAAAACGCACCACCGTTCAGAAACCCTGGTTTCTGATTCGATTCCCTAACGTAAATACCAACAAACGTTATGGTTTCAACCATGGCTTCAATGTGGTGCGAAATAGATTTCGTCCATCCACAGTAAGTCTCAATTTGCTGTACTCGATCGCTGGCCTGTACATGTTCTTTGTTTTTTTGGATGCCCCAAAAAAAGGGTTGGTTGAAAAGGACACCAAGAAGAGACCAGCCATTTTGGAGGGGCCCACCAGCCATTTTGGAGGGCCCCCCCCCTTTTGAGACAAGCCCAATTATCGAAGATAGTTCACACAACAGATGGGTGCAACCACAATCGAAGCTGAGGGCCTGCCGGAAACTCACTTTGAGCCGGGTCTAAACCGGGATCTGAACTTCCAGCCACAGCCTATGGACCTGGCATGGGGGTCGCTTGCTGTCCGGTTTTTGCGGGATACGGCCCAACCTGAGCAGAGCGCGGCTCCTGCTTTGGAGAAAGCTATAGCTGGCCATGCGCGACCAGAGCATCTTGAAGACAAAGCTGACCACAGGATGGCGAATGAGGTTGGGATCCTCGGCTTTTTCAGGCGGCATCCCGAATCAAGTCTGCGTGATCGCCGCCAATAATAAGCCTTGCCCTGTTTGTACTTCCCGGCTTCGAATGCCCTTGCCACAACAATTAAAAACAAAAAAACAGCCGCTGCACACATGATGCCTACTGCCTCCAAAGGCTCGTTCAGCTTCACCAGCACAAGGATGCTCGTGTTGAAGGTGCCGTCGCTGTTCTGGATCAAATGCTTCACGAAGTAGTTCACTCGCCTCCTGAGTCAGCATAGCGCCACGAGCCGTGAGAGCATCCAGTCATACCAACCCTCTTCGGCTTGTGGCGGGGAAGATGGGGGGGGGGGTGGAACACGGTTGCCTTGATGTTACTCAAGTTCCTTGTTGTTTAGTCTGCAGCTGACTCCTTGCCTGGCTCGTTTCTGCAAGGGCAAGCGCAGTTGAACGATCTATTCGTCCATTGTTCAGGGTCAAGGACCCATGTGGATTGGCACTATTACGTTTGAACTTTTGCTTACCACTAAAATGGGCAACCAAAGTAGAAATGCCAGAACCTCAGGAAGTAAGTTGGAAAAAAAAACAAAGAATAAAAAAGAGAAACTTTCAAACAACATGCAACCATGCAGCCTAGCCTTCTCTCACAACCATGCGAGTAGCTACAGGGCTTTGAACCCCGGTCTTTGCCTTTCAAACGAATCGCACACCCACAGCTCAAAATGCAAGCCCAGCTTCATCTTGTGGATGGTCCACTTTGATCGCCAGCAAAGGCCTTACATCAAGCACGGACATCACGGACAAAGCGATACATGTGTGGGTCAAAATGAAACCACCAGGGGACCACAGGTTTTGGTCCATGTTTCCACTTGCCAGGGTTCCAGCCATACACCACCACATCTCCCTGGAGAGGTTCTGGCTTGCAGTTTGGCCGAAAGCTGCCAACAAACAGATGGTAGAGTCGCTAGGGTCCAACAAAGCCACACACACACACGGTTGGTCTCAAAGGCAGGAGGCCCTCCCTAGGTCCGCACTTTCCACTACACCAAGGCAGGCATTTCCGCAGTGGTTTTGGATCGTGACAAGGCTGGCTGGCATCTGACTGGATTAGCCGAGAAGCCATCCAGCATTGTGGGCAGCAAGCCTTGCCCTCTCACGGCACCTCAGTCAGTCTCAGCAGGCCATGGTGAGGAATGCCACGGACAAGCCAGAGAAAAAGATGGGACTCTCCAAAATTTCCCAGAATGAATGTCTCACACAAAGCAAAGCAGGGGATTCACAAACATTTGTTCCATGCCCGTGAACGTAACTACGGTTGGCAGCTTGAATCTAGCTGAGTCTGCATCCCCCGAGTCCCTGACATAGCTCCTGAAGAATGTCAGGGTGTCGCTCGAAGAGGGCGTCGCAACCTCAAGATTCCGCACTCACAATTGCTCCATCGCGGTGTTCGACATACCTCTCCTCAAATAAAAGGCGCCACTGGTAATCGACTACCTTCGGCTGGGGAAGGGGGATCGCGGATCGCGCCATTGACTAGATGGGGAGAAGGCGTCCATTTGCACCCTGAGAAATCACATGGTTGAACCCAGATTTCCTCGTAAGTTCTTTGGCGCTTTGGCTGTCGACCAGCGTGGGACCATTTCACCGAAGCGGCTCGGCGGGCGTTCCCTTGGGTCCCAGGTGGGCTTAGGCCATCTCAGAGATTTCTTGCCGGCATCCGATGCCCAGAAAACGGGAGAATCGATTCCCAGAATTTCCCTCCGCAAATTCTGGAAACATGAGATAGACACAAGTCAAAGGGTTGGCTTACAGGAACATCTGCAGGAAACAGCTGATTTACGCTGTGCTGGGGCCATTTCCTGTAGATTTTCCTGTAACCAAACCCTTTCAACACGGGTGCTCATTCCAGACATCGGATTACACTCAGGGGCGTTTCAATTTCATGAGGCAAGACTCTAGAAGCCTACCCTCGAGAACCCACAACCCCATTCCATCCAGGCGTCCATAGTAGTAGTTGTCCCTGTCAGCACCTCAGATTTTGGGAAACTTCCGGCCAGCCCTAGGCTGTACCTTCGGGCGCCGCTGCCTTCGGGGCGCTTTGGGTCCTTGGAGTTCGGGGCTCGGCCAAGGCCAGGCGCATTTTCTGCACGGACTGGGCAGTTGAGAGCTGGGCTCGGTCCTTCTTTGAGGCCTTCCCGCAAAAAGAAGTCGTCGGGCTCGCGTTCGGCGCACCATCTCCGGATTTGTGTTGCGACATGGGGATGGTTTTCAGACCCACTGCAGCTCAGCAGCGGATGGTCAGCAAATCTGTGAGCATGGCCCGTGCCACCTGGAAGCTTCCACTCCTGGGCAAGGATGGATGCCGGCAAAGCGCAGCCCTGGATGACGCATGGACTTTCCAAATGCTGGCTCAGGCGGGCTGGCACTCAACATCACGCAAGCCTGCCCAAGAAAGGTGCTTGCACATAACAAGCAGCTCAAGATTCAGCATGCTCAATCATCCCAACAGCTCCGCAATCCTTTTGCTTAAGCACCCTGTGATGCACAGCCAGTCACCGATCATGCCAATTATTTTCAGGAGAAGCCTGAGTTGCTGTTTTCCTTTTCAACCCGGCTTGTGAATCGGTAGCGGGCACCATCTTAGCTGGGGCCAAGTTTTGGTGGCCGTAAGAGCCCCGACCCCCAAACAAAAGGGCTGGGAGATGTCAGCTGTGAATTTCGGCAGCGGACAGCTTCTGAGTTGCTAGATCCATTTGCCGCCCACCTGTCCACCCGGCAAAAGCTCCGAACATTTGGCCATGGGTCAAAATCCCGTAGTGAGCATCCCAATCATTCCCAATCCCCACTAAAATGTTCTAACATGGGTGGTGCACCTACCCCAAAACGGGATCCCATTGGTTTTGACCCACAGCCACTTGTGTGGGTTCAACACGAATCACTGAGGGTCGCCGGATTCCCCAAACACAAAAGCTGATCATTTTTGTTTCGCCGGACTGCCCACTCGCCCAAAACTCCGAACATTCCTTTTTCTAATTAAGGGCGAAAGAAGCGAGCCGTCGGCGCCTCACTTTCTATGGCAAGGCGCTGGATGGCCCAGTAGAGCGGCGAGATGGATTGCGTGCCGACCTCAGCCAGTCTCGCTCGGGCGCAACTTCGTGCCATCCACCTGCCTAGAGTCTCCACCCTGAACAGAATGGGTCCATGACCCCTTTACTTTTGGGTCATGACCCCATGTTTTAAGGGTCATGGAGACTCCAGGTGGGTTCTGGACGACCTTTTGGATGCGCCCAAGATCCTCGAGGTTCCCAAGATGATTGGCTCTTTCGGTGGAAAACCACCACCACAAATACCACCGAGTACCTGGAACAACCAGGAGTTCTTCTTTGCCATGCCTTGCCTCCATTCTTTTTCGCGCTTTGGCTCAAATCAGCTGTAAACAAAGAACCGGGGGAGCAAACCAACAACTTTCCCACACTTCACCCCTGGATTCCCGCAAGCTTCCCTCCAGGTTCGAACTCCGGGGTTCAACTGCCACATGTCGCCCCTGGATTCACGCCCGGAGTCACGGACGCTTCTTCGGGTCCGAGCTCCGCGCCGTGATCTTCAAGAGCTCCTGCTCCCGGCTTTGCCGGGAGGCGATGGAGATCGCCTCGGCGCTCCGCGGCACCCGCGGCACTCGCGGGGAAGGAGACGTGGGTTTTTGTATTACACCCTGGGGCACATTTCCGGATAAAACCGTGTTATTATTACAAAACCCTGAGAACTCATGGCTTCCTTTAACAGGGCTCTCTATGGTTCCCCTGAAAACATCACCCCCACCAAGGGATACTCACCTTTCACGGGCCAAAAAGGTGATGTTTAAAACCATCAAAAAGGGAATATACAGGGAGGACTGGCTTCATCCCCGCATTACCAGAAAGCACCGGAAAATGAAGCGTGAGACCTGACAACTTGGCGCTGACAGTCCGGGAATGCCTGAGGTCGACCAAAAAGGATGGGCATCATGGCAGCGCAATGCTCGTGACCCAGTGGACATGCCATCACATCGGAAAGCTCGACCGGATGCCAGGCCAGTGCCCGCGAACATGTGATATGCGAAGATGCAAAAGTCAGGTGCTTTGGTAGGTAGGGGTCGCGCAATCCCTACCCCAAAAAGAAGATAAGTGGGAAATGCAACCGAAATCCTACATTCACAGTGCATGGGACCCAAAACCAGGGTTCCCATCTTACCAAACAGATCTGGAAGATTCTCCTGGTGTTGCTCTCCGTCACATGCGGAGATCAGGAGAGAAAGGTAAATCCTACATTCTAACCAGTCCCGGTGCATCTCGATCTTTGACCAAGTTGCCTTCCTAAAGCGCTTGGCGCTGTTGGTGTTGATGGCCTTCATGACGATGGTCGAGCCCTCCCCGGCAAAAATTTGAACCGTTAACACGCACGTGCGGGGTGCTGCAAAATGAAGCTGCCTGGTTTACAGCCTCACCGCACTCCAATCGCCGGAGTTTTGGAGATGCAGGTGTTTCCTTTCGTGGTAGACTCCTTCAAAGAGGCCATGCATTTTTTTGTAGACCGACCGTGGGAGAAAATCGGGGGCAATGCTGGAAAGGGACCGTCCGCTTGTGGGCAACTTTTTGGCACATGTTCACTTTAGGCAACCAAGAAGTCGTGTGACAGGCATAGCTGGTAGCCTCTTGCTGGCTCTAATTTCTGCGCAGGCTCACATCTTGGAGTACCAAGCCTTTGGCATGTGCAAAGACGGTCGGGAGAAGAATCATGAAGCATACCCAAACACCCAAAACTCGTTGGAGCTGAACTTCTCCAATTCATCTCTCTTTCGAAATCGCCAGTCGGAAGGTATCACCTTCCTGGTGCTCAGCAGAGAATGAGGGAATGACCCCTACAAACCATCCATCCTGTGGGTTCCTGTAAGGGAATCCATCGACTTCTTCCCTATCGCAACCCGTGGTTTCCTTTAAGGGAATCCCGACTTCTTCCTTCCCTAGCCATCGCAGCGTTGCAAGAGGCCGCCTCAAGGATCGTTCGCACCAGGCACTTGGAAATCAAGGTCAGTGACCACCGCAGCGAAGAAACGGCCCTGGCATCCACTTGCCTGGCGTCAGCTTCCCCCCCCCAAAAAAAAAACAGCGCCGGGGCCACCAACAAAAACTTCAAAGCCAAAAGTGATCCGAAAAATACTCCCCAAATTTGATGACGACCATTGCACACCCAAAATGACCAAAGCTCTAGCTGCGCCAAGATGTGGTTTCCAATTACGTGCCATGTGGAGGTTTGGCCACCCTCAACTTGCCTACTGCACCCGTCAACCAATCAGCCTGGCCAAGCAACGCATGCTCTAGCCTAAGTTGGACCTTGTGTCTTGGAACGCAGTTGCCAAGCTGAAGCGATTGCATTGGGACTTGCACAGCAACTGGAAATAGGTTATGAAACGGTGAAGGGTATGCATATTTGTGCAGTGTGATGCAGTGTGCATATTTCTCAGCAACTTGTTTCTCTTCAAGGCTTCATGGTCAACCCGAACATCTCACCCCCTGCGCCGAGGTGCATGCTTTGGATGGACTGGCTCCACGCCTAGCAGCGGAGTTTTGAGCCAAGTAAGAGTAGATTGCACAACTCCGCTTGTGGGTAAGGACCAGGGATGAATCAACCAACATGGCTGATCTAGTTTCACCCAACCCTATTTTCATATTTCTCACTTACAACCAAAAGGCCTGAACGCGTCAGGTCGACCACCCAGCTTTCTCTACCAATGGTTGCCGCTTGCAGATCAAAAGATGCGGTTGGCTGTAAGGGATTTGACCCAAAAAAAACACCTCTCCAAAAATTCGACAACTGGTGGCTACGTCCTCTTCATTTGCTGTCCGCCCCGGCTAACGCTTGGTAGCTAGGCATGTGGATTTGCCTAAGATTCTTGTCAAACGATTTGATTGAGGGCGAGTTTTATACGGATCATGTGCAAAATGAATGTTGAATTGGTTCAGTAGCCGAGCGAGCAAAGGTCTACTCACCATCATTCACAACTTGGATTGGGAGCCTTAGGTCGGAAGGGCGCACATCTGACCTGAGCTCCCCATACTACGACAACAGTAAGAGCACAAGGCTTACAAAGAAACTGAAGGCTGATTCTGACAACCGGCCAAGCATGTTTCACAGGATACCTGCTGTTGACAAGGTTGAGCCCAAGTCACATGCCTGACGCGTCTATGATAACCACGCAATGCATTGCGTGGACCCTACACCCACTCCATCTTCCAGGAAAGCTACCCAAACTGAGGACAATGAGAGGGTAGCTAGACAGACGCATGTTCCGGGGCCTGATTCCACTCATGGCTCTCTCAATTCCGAATTCATGTTGGCAAGTTAGCCATTGACTTGCGTTTATTTTCAAACAACTCGTCCCGGATCATGTTTGGCGAGAAAAACTTGCAGTTCTGGTGTGAACCGGGCATAGTGCGGATGCAGTTCAGATTGCTGTAGAAACAGAAGGTGGTGGCAGTAGTAGCAGTAGCAGCAGCAGCTGTAGCAGTAGCTGCTGTAGCAGTAGCTGCTGTAGTAGTAGTAGTAGAAGTAGTAGTAGTAGTAGTAGTAGTAGTAGTAGTAGTAGTGGTAGTAGTAGTAGTAGGAGGAGAAGTAACAGCCATCGGCGAAGGAGTAGTAGCAGTAGCAGTGGTGGTGTTGGTGGTTACACTGATTGGTAGTGTCAGTAGTAGTTGTAGAAGCAGCAGCAGTAGTGCGCTTGCCCATCCCGCGGCCTCTATGAATGGCGGGAACAGCTCTGTCGGCATGCCGTAGCCGACGTGTCTCAAGCCCAGGGCGGAGATCTCTTCGATCATTTCGCGGGGCTTTAAGTAGATGTCGAGAGACATCTCCAAGACCTGCCAAGCGACTTGATGCAAGCGGGCTCATGGGCATGACAAAGACCTGGGGAACAGCTGGCGCTGGGCAACACTGCGGGCCCTCTATTTTGAGGCACACCTACATGGGCGCATGTGTTTTGATGTGGGAAATTACAACTTTAGCTCGGAGTGATCCGCAGCCAAATGCCTTTCGGCACATTTCCAGCTCGAAAGTCGCATCCCGAAAGGGCAAATATTCTTATCTCACGTTATTGAATCAAGATGTATAGTCAAGTACGACGTAGAAAGCTAGCAATGCCGTGCATCTCTGAGTTGAGTTTGCCTGCCTGGCAGGTCCGTCAACACTGGTAAGTTGTCCGCGCAAATGCGATCGCAAGGCACGCGCGCAAGCATACAAGCAAACACTCAACGCAGGCACACACAAACACATATGCCGCCACGTAACTATCGTACCCATAACACCACACAATCGTACCGCATAACCCGCAAGCCTGCAAACGCATACATCACGCCTGTATCTTCTTCTAAAGGTCTCTCAAGCTGCATTGATGACTGGTGATTCCGAGGCCAGTTCCTCCCCAACACTTCCAGAAACATTCCTGAGTTGCACCAGGCCATAGCATCCCAAAGCAGGCCTCACAGTATGTGGGGAACCGCGAGCAGCGCAAGCCAACCCCAAAACACCAAGCAACTCCGTTCCACGTGGCCCCCAGAAACCATCCATGTAGCTTTGCCATGTCAGCCTTGCCGGCAATGAAGTACAGCCGGGTCGTGGACTGCTTGAAGAAGTTTTGGCCGCTTGGCGCTTGCTCGAAGAATCGCTTGTACACGTCCCGGCATAGCTTGGCAATGCTCTGGTCGTCCAAGGACTTGATAAAGCGATCCACGGATCGCTGTTGGCCTAGCATGGGATGTCCGTGGAATGATTGCTGACAAAAAGCGCTGCGCCCTGCATGAAGCATCCAACAAATTGGTGAGTCAACGGCAACTGTGACTTGGCTGGTGCCAGTACCACATTGGGCCCTGTTGATTTGCATTAGCCAGGCTGGTCCATGCTGTGCCTTCCCAAAAACCTCTCAAGTTGTATGTAGCAATGCTTGTCAATGCCATCCTTGACGTCGGATGGCACCATGGGCAACCCCCTCATCATCACAGTCATCACCACAACACCGCCATCACCAGCGCCAGCACCATCACCACCACCAGCACCATCACCAGCACCAGCAGCAGTACCACCACCACCACCACCACCACCACCACCACCACCACCACCACCACCACCACCACCACCACCACCACCACCACCACCACCACCACCACCACCACCACCACCACCACCACCACCACCACCACCACCACCACCACCACCACCAACCACCACCACCACCACCACCACCACCACCACCACCACCACCACCACCACCACCACACCACCACCACCACCACCACCACCACCACCACCACCACCACCACCACCACCACCACCACCACCACCACCACCACCACCACCACCACCACCACCACCACCACCACCACCACCACCACACCACCACCACCACCACCATAGCACCATAGCACCATAGCACCATAGCACCATAGCACCATAGCACCATAGCACCATAGCACCATAGCACCATAGCACCATAGCACCATAGCACCATAGCACCATAGCACCATAGCACCATAGCACCATAGCACCATAGCACCATAGCACCATCATCATAGCACCAGCACCGGCACCATCAATCACCAGCACGTACCATCACCATCACCACCACCATCACCAGCACCAGCAGCAGTACCACCACCACCACCACCACCACCACCACCACCAGCAGCAGCAGCAGCGGCAGCAGCAGCAGCAGCACCAGCACCAGCACCAGCATCAGCACCAGCACCAGCACCAGCACCATCACCAGCACCATCACCAGCACCATCACCAGCACCAGCATAGCACCATCACCAGCACCAACCACCACCACCATCACAATCAACAGCACCATCACCAGCACCATCACCAGCGCCAGCACCACCAGCACCATAACCACCACCATCACCAGCACCAGGAGCACCGGCACCGGCACCAGCACCGGTCATCATCACGAGTTGTTCACTCGCGTTGTTGCCCTGCGTCTGTACGCAGAACCCCCTTGCAGTTGTATGGGTTCGTGAGCTTGCTTTCTGTTATTCCTGGCGTCTGACCCCTCGAAAAAAGGAGAGCCTCTCAGCTTGACCCACCCGAAGCTCTGCCTTTCAGGTTGGCCACTTGGGACTTGATCATGCGCTCCAAGTTGTCCCAGAACCATGTCCAAGCGACCTGATCCAAGCGATCCAAGCGATCCAAGCGCCCGGCCACTGAGTCATGGCCATCTGAAACCATCCCGGCTGGGTCAAAAAAGAAGGGCGCCGGGTCAACAAAAAGGCGCCTCTTCTTTCCGGCGTCCTCCTTTTTCGTTTTTGTGTTCCCTCTTTTTTTCTTCTTTTTTGTTTCTTCTTTTTTGTGTGTGTTTCTTTCTTTCTCAGGTCCCCTCTTGTTTGTTTGACTTTCGCTTTCGCGAAACCCAAAGACGGACCCTGCCAGGCCCCACTGGCTTCGGCTTCAAGGCCGCGGGCCTCGTGCTCCACGCCCCAGATCTTCGGGACCAAGGAGCGCAGGGAGGCCAGCATCACGGCCTGGCCGAAGCGGAACAAAACAAAACAAAAAAAACGGGCGCCGGGCCAAAAAAAAGGAGGCCATGGCCTTGTGGACCTTTGGGTATGGGAAACAAGGATTTGGGAATAACGGTAATACTAATAATAAGAATATTATTATTTTAAGGATGGAATCATGAGCAGCATGAAAAATAATCAGCAGGTGAGTGGGGGGATACACCGCAAACTATCCGTCTTATGGCACATCATGGCTGTCGAGGCTGTTCGACTGCCCAGCACTTCGCGAAAGAATGCCATACCTGGACCTTCCGGGGGTCCAAAATTTTAGGCGTTGGCAAAAAAACATGTGTTTTTTGCCTTTGGTGTGAAAAAATGCTTTTAGGGCGAAAAAACGCCGGCGGTCATATTTGTTTGCGCCGCGGTCGGGAATGTTCGCCTGTTGGTCGGGAGTTTTCGCCTGTTGGTCGGGAATTTTCGCCTGTAGATTCGGGGAGATTTCGCTTAACACCCAAAATTGAGCAAAAAAGGCCGTAGGCAAAAAACACGCGCAATTGCCTCAAAAAGCAATTCGTAGCGAAAAGGCGGAAATTTTGAGCATGCAGGAAGATCCAGGTATGGGCGTGGCTCAAAAATTCAGGGCTGGGGTTACGCAGGTGTTGGTCTTTGTTTCCATCCAAGGGGCCCAAAAATGGGTTCCACTTTTTGAGCCACAGCCATATGATTCACGGCGATTCCGCTTCTCCCTCAGTGGAAGCACCTTGAACTCCGCGTACACGATGGCCTCCTGGCGCAGAAAACCACCTCGCGGACCCTGGCAAGCTCCTTCTAGTTGTATCGGGAGCCCCGCAAAGTAGCAGGACAAAAGCCTCATTTTTGAGGTCGAAAGGGTCCGGCTGGGTGTGGAAAAGGGGTGGCTGGGTGGGGCTGGACATGCGTCAAAGTCTGCATGCACAGTCCTTGCTCTTCACCAGCACCAGCGACAAAACATCGCACTCTTCTTGCAGCCTGTTAGATTTCGCAGCATTCCTGGGCCGCATGTATGCATGTCAACTGTCACTTTAAAAGGTCCCCTATTTTCAGACACAGCCAAATTCTTGCTACCTTTGCCAGCTTCAACTCACGGTTTGTATGGTACCTACGTCCGGTCGGCCACTTCTTCGACATGAAATAAAGTGCAAAGCGGCGAATTGCCAGATGCATCCAAGCTGCAATACCATATTCTCGAACTGTTCTAGCACAGAGCTCATCCACCCCATACTCGCTGTAAAGCCCATCACAGCGGCATTGAATAAAAACATTTCCTCAAACCGAGCTGAACGGCACACAACGCAAACGTGCGCTCATGCTCCCGGGTTTCTCGCAAAAGCCTATCAAGCCAAAAGGGTGGAAGAACAACTCCCCAAACTGAGAACGCACTGCGGGAGAAGGAAAATGCCTCGCCCATATGGCGCTGGCCCAATATGCGGCAGTCATACCTTCAAAGCAAGGAGCGTTAAAGTTCTGCGGCACTTTGGTCACAGCGCCACCTTTCATTTCAACAGGAGGCCCAGCTTTCTTCTCGCCCACCTGAGCTGAAACTTGTTAAACTCGCCGGGAGGGAAAAACCACGAGGCCCTGGCCCGCCTTTTTTGTGGAGTTTATTGTTTTCCGGCGTTTGTGGGATTCGTCCCTGGTCCGTATTAGAGCGTTCACAAAAGGCGGACTCGGTATGCAAAGCGTCCTGGGGAAACCAAGCATTTGGGGGGATATGGCGTCTGACAAACAGCATCTCTGCACATGGAACATCTGCGTGTTCCAGGCACCTGGTCACCTGGCGCAAACCCCAGGCTAAAGGAGAAAGAACTCCCACCTTCTGGAGAGGGGGGGGGGCAAGTCCATTTCCCAGGTCTTCCCACAAGAAAATCGTGACATGTGGCCGTGGAAGTCTCGACAGTTCCCCGATGGGGGGGGGTTCAGCTCGCCCCGAAAGCTCAACCCGTCCGTTCCAGGCAGGCCGCTTGCTTGCCGCTGGGCTCGCCTGCGGGCGAAAGACTCGCGAAACAAGACGCAGAAGGAGAGATAATGCGGGTATGAGGTCGACCCTCTACCAAAAAAGGAGGTATTTGCCATGGAAACCCAGGTTTTTCAGAAAGTACCATTAAAAAAAAGTGGGTATTTGGAGTAGAGGGTATTCGAAGTCAAGAGAGCCAATCCGGTCATTAAGAACTTGGTTGGGAGGAATTTCTGTGAATGTTTGGGTACCACAGGCTCCGACTGGCTCCCTGCGTTCCGGCACATGCGTTGTTGCAGGCTGCGGGTTGGCAATGGAACAATTCAAGCTACCTGCACCGGACCGGGGTGTCGTTTTTTGGGGGGTACTCCTTTTTGGGTTTGGTTTAAAGCAGCCAACAGAGACACACAGACCTTGAACCCCAACGGTTCATACCTCCAAAATTAGCTGAACATTTCCAGCCCGGGTGAAGCCCGTGCCAAACACAACGGATGGGCCATGACTCCCGGCCAGCGTGACCAACATCCTCACCATTGTCGTCCTCATCATCGCCAAGGCCTTGGTGAGCTCTCTGCGCTGAAGGTCCGGCAGTTTAAGCGCCGCTACTCAAACGAAACCAGGCACAGCGCTCAAAACCATGTTGCAACTGCTTGTTGAGCAAAGTGCAAGGGACCTTGTTGACCTTCCTGCCTGCAATTTCTTGGGACTACATGGGACTACGTGCTGGTGGCTTCTCGGGGGGGAGGAAAACAAAAACACTGGCGCCACCAGCCAGACTACCGAACCTCGAAGCGCATCATTGAACGCCTACATGCGCAAGGGATTGTACAGCAGCGAAGCCTATGAGTCATCCCACATTCCCGCCGGAGAATCCTCCGATCACCCTTGCCGCCAAGGTGCGTGCGATGCTGGCCTTGGATCAAAACTGCTCAAATCGACCTCGCCTGATAAAGCTCCGACTTCACATTGGTGTTCATGGCCCCGCATGGCTCCAAATGTTGTTTTGGGATTCCGCAAAAAACAAGAAGAGACCAGTTTGAAGCATTTCGGACACGATTTCTGTTCCTGCCTTCAAGGAGCCCATGGAGTCTATGGACACATGTTGTCGGCCGTTTCTGGTCGACCGGAGGAACAAACATGAGCTTGGCTGGAATTAGGACCCCAGCAAAAAGCGCTTTTTTCTGCCTGGCGAGTGGGAAAACACAAGGGAACCAAAAAAGCCAAAAAAAAAAGGGGAGCTAATTCTGGGGAAGAATGTAAAGCCATTTGGTCACGGGCTCGGACTGTTTTTTCAGACTACCGGGCGGCCGCAATCCAGCTCGTCCGCAGGACGCTGATTCTGTCGCCATATTCCCTGCGCACATAGATCATAGCGCCGCCCACGTAGTTCAGGGTGGCCAAGAAGCCGGCCTTCCCCTGTGATAGGCGCCAGCAAGATTTCAGGCATGACGCCAAACTTGGACGAGCGAATGTATGCTGCACCCTTGCCGTACTTATGGCACATGACCGCACTGCCAGATCCGGCGCGCTGTTTAACGCACACATCAGCTGATCTGCACACATTTGACCAATGGGATTGGCAAAAGCACAACGATTTGGTAAATGCCCTCTAGTCTGATAAATGCAAAAGGCCTCATTGGGCTTCAAGGGCGGTGCGAACATTCGAAAAGTGATCCCTGCTTTCTGTCTTTGTCTTTTTTCTTCTCTTTTGTGTTCCGGGGGGGGGGAGGACAGCTTAACCATGACCCCGGTGCTTTTTGTTTGCTTGCTTCGTTTCTTTGTGTTTTTTTTTTTTTTTTTTTGTTTTTGTTTGGGTGGTTTTGTGTTTTTGTTTCTTCTTCTTTTCTTGGGGGGGTGGAGGGGGGCAAGGGCCCGGCATCAACAAAACGTGTCCCTCGCACCTGCGGGGTGAGGATGCTGCCGACCTCGGACTCCAAGACATCCAGGATGGCGTCCCGGAAGAGGCAGACTCTGGGAGTCGTCACCTCGATGTCGAGGTGCTGGAAGCCCAGAGTCTCCGTCACCACCTCTCTTTTGAGGCGCTTTTGAGGCTTTTGAAGCATTGGCTTGGTTTAGAGGGAGGAACGCTGTCCATTTATTTTATTTGTTCTTGGGGGGGGTCCCAAAACAGAAGTGCGATGAAAACAGACCTGGTGCTCAAGTTAAAGCAGCTTGAAGTACTGCCTCATTCATGCGGGGCCACTTCTTTCCTAGGTCCTCCGGTAGAGAGGTTAGACTAAGGGTACCCTTTTCCTGTAGTCTAGTTTAGTAGGGTTGAACCCTCCCAACCAAAAAGAAACACCTAGCTGGGGGCCACGTCTTTCTCAGCCTTGACCCCTGGCAAGCCCCGAAAAACGTCCCCAACTCCGGTGGTACGGTCGGCATCGGGGCCTTGAGAGACGTGGGCCGCGCGAGCTCGGAGAAGATGAGGTTCAGGCCATTCACAAAGCGCATGGCCATGACGGAGCGGGCCGTCCTTGGTGTGGGGTGGGCTGGGAGTGGGAGTGGAGGAGTGGGGTGGGGGAGTGGGGTGGGGTGGGGTTGGGGGGGGGAGGGGGAGGGGGAGTGGAGTGGGGGAGTGGGGTGGGGTGGGGTTGGGGGGGGGGAGTGGAGTGGGGGAGTGGGGTGGGGTGGGGTTGGGGAGGAGGGGGTGGAGTGGGGGGTGGAGTGGGGGAGTGGGGTGGGGTGGGGTGGGGTGTTTGGGGGGGGGGGGAGTGGAGTGGGGGAGTGGGGTGGGGTGGGGTTGGGGGGGGGGGGGGGAGTTGGGGATTGCGGACAAGGTTCATCCTCTTAGTGGTGGGTTTGGAGCCGAATTGGTGGTTTCCCATTTATATACCCTCCACAAGAACCAGGGGCTCGAATCCCCAAACCTTTCCAAACCACCGATTGAAAGTTTGCGGCGGACCAAGGGAATGTCCACACGTGAAAACAAAGAGGATCCCAGGCAAGCCCTGCATGGCGCGACAAAGCCAAAACAAAAAAGGACGTACAAACACACACACACACACACACACACACACACACACACACACACACACACACACACACACACACACACACACACACACACACACACACACACACACACACACACACACACACACACACACACACACACACACACACACACACACACACACACACACACACACACACACACACACACACACACACACACACACACACACACACACACACACACACACACACACACACACACACACACACACACACACACACACACACACACACACACAGACACACACACACACACACACACACACACACACACACACACACACACACACACACACACACACACACACACACACACACACACACACACACACACACACACACACACACACACACACACACACACACACACACACACACACACTCACACACAGACACACACACACACTGACACATGCACCCACACAAGCAAAGCAGCAGAATGAAGCACACAAACGCGCCATCAGTTCTTGATGGCTGTCGAGTCCACGCGCCTGGGGCCCATAAGCCTGCTTGGCAATCAAAAAATGCCCGCAAAACCTTTTTGCGAAGGGACATGCCGATCCCATTTAGGCACGATTTTATTTTTTTAGAAAAAAGAAGAAAAAGGCAAAAGCCACTGGCAACATTTGATGAAGCCCCCATTGCCTACTGGGCGTTTAATCATTTGCTGAGCGTGCCCCACGTCACTCCCTTCATTACGGACAATGCAATTCGCAGTAGGATTCTGATCAAGATTCTAAAGCGCGGCTGTTGGTGGAGATGTGAGCTGAGTAAAAACCGCCACAAAACACTGTGTTTTACAGTGTTTTCTGACCATCGTAGTGCTGGGGATAGTAAGCCAAAAAAAACACGATTTTGGGACCTCTGAATTCTTCCCTTATGACTTGATAGTTTTAACAAATTTCTGACTGAAATTAAGTAGAAGTTTATAAGGACAGACTCCAATCAAGGTTTCTATGTTAAAGTAGAAATTTAATGTTGATTCTTATACCTCAATACACATGTTACACAGGAACATGTATTCAACATTTTCGGGACCGATCATTTAGTTCCTTATGTCTACTTAATATACCTATCAAGTTCTACCTAAGTTCTATCTCACATTAAATGACATTTTCCACGGACAGCATCAAGCTGGTTTTGAACTTAATTGATGATTATTCTATGTCAACATAAATGCTACACAGGATGTCAAGGATGTCCTTTCCGATAGAATCGGCTTTGCAAACCAGTAGACATTGAAACAACGTGTATACAACAATTTTGGGACCTTGAAGCTATGTCTTAAGAATTCTATTTAGAGTACGTATCAAGTTCAACTTAACAATCTAACTAAGACTAAGCATTAAGTGAGGCGCGAGTCCAATCAGAGGAAGCAAACGCAGCCCCCAGGGATCTGAAAAACGCAGCCCCCAGGAATCTGCAAAAGCCGCCCGCAGGGGTAAAAGAGCCCACCGACTTTGGGTCTCCACGGACCGGAGAAGGTGAAAAGGACCGCGCAACTTCTTTTCCGAGGCGCTTGAAGAGGCTCTGCAACTCGGGAGCGCAGTCGAACACAACGCCATAGATGGCTTCGCCAGCGGCGTCCCGTGATGGCATGGCGGCCAGGAAGGCTGTCCAGGTGGACCTCAAGTGGTGGGGTGGGTGGGTGGGAGGTGGGTCGGTGGGGTGGGTGGGGTGGGTGGGGTAGGTTGGCCCAAAATGATCCAAAGCTTAACTCGACATAGCAGAGCATGGAGCCCACAGCCATCTTTGGCAGAACATTCAGCCAAGCCAATCACTTCCCTCAAAACGCTTCAAGTCGCACTTCAATCTCTGGCGTGGCAACGTATCAGCTGCTGGGTCGAACCCCCAAAGCTCATACCAGCACTCACCGCCACAAAAAGCTGGAAGAGTACGTAACACTGACACCAAACAATCACGCAAAGCACGCACACTAACTGCTCCTCCCTCGTCTTTTCTTCCAAGATTGAAAAAGGTAACAGCCAAAGGCTCCTGCATGATGTGCCCTTTGCAAACCCGGGGCCCAAACTCGAGTGGGAATTCCTTGCTGTCGCTTTGCACAGAACAGGAAAGGAGCTCTAGTCGTCACTTCTTCTCCACAGGTGATTCAATCTATGCACTCTGTATCAAACAGTTGGTTCGCAGTGTTCGAGGAAGTCAGGGTTTTCTTCCATCTTTGGGAATGAACCTATTCCAAAGCCACAGCACGCCATAAGTGCACTTAAACTAGGTCCTCCAGTAGAGAGTTTAGAATAAGTACCTTGTTTTTGGTGTAGTCTATTTCAGTAGGGGAACCCTCCCCCAAAAAAGGGTGAGAGAGGGCTTTTCTTCCATCGGTGGGAATGAACAAATAAAAAATAAACAAATCCAAAGCCACAGGACGCCATAAGTTAACTTAAGGGAACCCTTTCAGCTGGGTTTCAAGGACCTCCCGAAAACAACCGCGGGTTTCGAAGGCGCTGGACTTCGTGGAGCACGTCTTCTGGCAAACGCATCTCCCCGAAGACGTGGTCTTGGACATCGGAGATGAGCGCATCGATGTCTTCTTCGACCTCCTGCAAGACATATAGCTGTGGGTCAAAAATGTGTGCCCACAATGGAACCCCGGTATATGGAAATAAGTAGGACTAAGCCAGCGGTCCCCTAGTGGTCTAATTTTGGCTCATGCCCATATGGGAAATGAGGGGCAGCTGGGATCTTCCGACCATGCAAAGTTGAAGCCGTTTCCCGGAACGGCAATCGTTCTCGCCGGTGGCTGAAACACGCTCTTTCGGAGAAAAACGCTTGCCGTGAGTCCAGCTCGTGTCCAGGCAAAAAACAACGCTGTTTCGTCGGCAAATTACACCATTTTGCAATGTTGATTGATAGCAGGGCGTGCAAAAACTAACAACTCCCGGCAGGCGAGAATAATAACCAGTGAATCGAAAACAACATAGTTCTTAAATGTCCTTGACAAAGCAGCCATAATTTGGCACATGTTGGAAGAGCCATGTATAAGGGATACCTCCTCCGCACACCGGACGGTGGAGGCATAGGGCACATGAGAGATCATGAGAGCTTTTTGGGGGGCACATGTGGGAGACATAGTGTGAGAGGAGCAAGCGAGCTCCGCATGAACATCAACCTCGCGGGTGCCACGTCCCTCTTCAGCGTCTTGCAGAGCCAACAGTAGACAACTCATTTTGAGCCTGTTCTTTGGCAATTTGTAGGGTTGCGATAGAAAATGGCAGGGAGGCTAATCAGATCTCTTGCCTGCGGCTGGTTGTTCCCCAGGCTGACGCCCGAAATGTCGCTGAGATTGCTCGCCTGGCGAGTCAGGAGAGCGCCCAACTGTTTGCTTTATGAAATGCTAAGGCAACTGACACAACTCTCTATCCTGCCATCCAAATGTGCCGGACACTCCTTAGGCAGGAGCCTTCGGGTTTCTGCATAATAAGTGGCTTGGACATTCTCGCCTTTTGCTTGCTTGCCACAACGAGCGCAAGGCTCGTGGAAAGGCAACAGCTTGAGGCTTGTCATCTGTGGCGACTATTCCGGCCTCTTCATCGCCTTCTGGCAAAGGCTCCGTAAAGCCGGCTACATCATGCCCGTCCTGGCACTTGCTGATTTCTGCTGTCTGAATATGTGGTCCTGCTCGAGAGCAGTTTTGTTTGTGTGCGTCAAAAGCCGGCGTCCTCGTCTACATCTTGCATCAGCTCAACCTTGGTCAGTCCCAAAGTGCCCCTTGGGAAATAAATGGCTCGAAGCCGCAAGCAAACTTTCTTTGCCTTAAGCCCCCTGGAAAAAAGAAAAAACATATTTCCAGTAGTGATAGATTCCTTTTAACACCAACAAGAGAATCAAACAGATTCTTCAGCAAATGGAAGTTTGACTTCAGCGCAATTCCCTCCACATTCATGTGCGCTACTTTGAGCCTGGCAGTGTGTTTTTTCAAGACGCCCTTGTCAGCCAACCACTGGCTAATTTGCTTTTAGACACCCGCCTTCCGCGCGTGACTTCCATGAATCGATTCCATTTTTAGAAGCTTCCCCTGCTTTGAACGTGGCCACCTGAAACATTCCACAGGTCAACAAGCCCGAAGCGTCACAATGATAAATTGCCCTCACGGCATCTCCTTCTCGGCAACACCAGATTCCATGCAAAGCATGTCTTGTTGAAACAGGTCTTATAGAAACAGGTCTTATAGCTGCGTGGACACATTCAGCGCAACAATTGACACTTTTCCATAGCTGCTGGTGTTCTGCCGTCGGTTTGGATGTTACTGGACGAAGCTGTGAGCAAGGGTTGGCCACATCAGGATGATGGAATGATGGCAAAGCAAGCAAGTGGAATTCTCAAAACAGACATGGCCGTGGGAGTGTGCGCGTGGGAGCGTGCCCAGGAACTCCAACAATTGTTTAGTCTCGGCTTCACCTTCAAAACGCTCGACCCGAGGCCCATCTTCAAGCAGCTCGAAGCTGCTCCTCTGCCGCTTCGAATGTCTTCACTTGGCTGGGCTTTTCAGGGCTCCGGGCCGGGGTTTGCCTACCCCATCACCACCACAGCGTGTTGCCTATTAGCAACTCTGAGCCAAACGCCAGTGAATTCGGATTCGCTTCGCGACACATGGGACCAGCGCGCAAATGGAACCTCTACGTGTGCATCAGGTGTCTGTGTGTGTGAGTGCGTGTGTGTCCCCTTCTTTTAATAGCTATCTAATTCAGCTTGGCCGGGGAGGGCAAGAATGCACGAAGCTACTGCTTTCGAATCTGTCGAAGGCCTGTTCAGCGAAACAAGAAGGATACATGTCTAGAATCTAGACACTCACTGGTCGCACGCACGAGCCCCACAATTCCCACGACGTTTTTTTGGGACAGTTGAACAAAACCGGCAGTTCGCCAGCTCTTTCTAGGTGTTTGCCATCTGGGATGGCACAGTAGCTTTGCTCCTTCACTTCCGGATGCCCTCCGAAACTGGGCTGCCCTCAGATCCCCCGCTCAAAGTGACTCACTTTTAGTGGGTTAAATGGAAGTTCCCCACGAAACACTACAAAGATCCAAAAGGCTAAGGAACCGGATGGCTGGCTTCGCCACCAAGGAAATGATTGGCTGCTTTTGGCCGTAGCCTTAGGCTTTCAGCCCAAGACCGAAAGCCCATCCCACCCATCCTTTGCTCCTCTCGCGCACCGTTGCAGCGACGCCGCGGGTACAACGCACGCACTTGGCCAACAAACCTCTCTCACATCATCACCTGACAGAGCCACTCGCAGATAGCAGCCCCTAAAACAATCACGACGCACGCACCAATAGGAATGTATATTATATATATATATACTACGTACATACATCCTACAAGGCGCTTGGCAAAACAGCCTGTCACTCAAGGCACAAACAAACACAAGGAAATGCACGCAACTTGGTGAGGATACCAGCTGCTAGCATCTATGGCATTGAATCCATGGAAATGCCGGTGAGAAAGCTGATGCTGTATTTGCCAATTCTGCGGGGCAAATGCCAGTCTGACCTGCCATGTCCCAGTTCAAATGACAAAGCTAAGATTAATACTGGTAAGGAGCCTCCGATTTCTTCACCAGAAGCCGGCATCTTGATGTTCCAGCGGCTGAAACGGCCGGGCCTTGACAAACGCCAGCAGCGGTAAGGCAAAGATCGCCACCTCAGCAAGCCCAAGGCTCTCGACACGGCCAAGACCCGCCGGGCGCGTCGCGTTCGGCCGAACAAACCTTCTGCGAGTGACTATGGAATTGCAACCCCGCATTAATGAATTGATCAACCCCTGTTTATTAATATGGGGGCGCGCCTGTTTTCAGGGGTTCATCACTTTCGAGGGAAGCACCGCCATATTAATACACAGGGGTTGATTCATAGGGGGTCAACATGCTACATCTCGGAGAGCATCAGCGTTGCGAGCCAAGTCATCCGAGGCACGAATCAAATGCTTGCTCTGCTCTCCTCTCGCGGTCAAACACTGTTGCACTTGAGTACCATCTCTGTACACTTCTTGGTTTTTCGCTTGCAGAGATGGATCGTACACCTCCATTTCTCTCCGAGTTGTACCCACTGCTTCTCTAGACTTGCTCAAGCGTCTCAACGTCGGCAATGTTTCGACATGTTTCGACAACTTTGTTCCTAGGCACCACCCCGAGCCACGTCTTGGTCAGGGCGGCCGACGGCTATCTTGGCCCGAAGTCTCTCCCTTCCCGGCACGCCCATTTCGGCCAGCTGGCAGGCAAGATGGCCATCTTCTGGAAGGTGTACCACCCCATGATGGAGCAGACCTCAAAGGAAGCCAAATCAGAGCCAGGGAGGCCGCTGCGAAAGCACAGCTCTACAGTTCCTCTTGGAGGGAGAAAAAACAAGCTTGGGGAACAAAAAAACACGCTTGGGTGGGAGTTACTTGCAAACGTGCCTCTGAAACTCAGCAAAGCCACGACTGCCATGCAACATATCTCGCACCCCAGAAAAAACTCGCAACAAGTGTGGCCAATGGGCATGAAATCATGGTGACTGTCAAAGCTGAGACAACACAAATCTTGGCTGCGTGAGAGCCCCGCCCAAGCAGCTACCAGCATGATCCTGCCGGAGTAGCGGTGCATTTTCCGGACCTCAGACGCTTGCGGAAACAGCGCAGACCGGGGCGCGGCAGTGCGCGGCAGGAAAAGCCCTATGGCATCCTGTGACATACCAAGGATGGACGAAATCCATTTCGCACCACCTAAGTAACCGTGAAATGATTCGATTCCCTGGTAAATACCAACGAACAATGGTTTCCCATGGCTTCAAAGTGGTGCAGGATTTCGTCCATCCACAGTATGGACCAAAACGTCAAAACATCGAGAAATAAGCAAACCCGACAAGGCTTTCGCTGGCAGCCAAACAATTCCCTGATGCTTGGAACCCATCGACTGCTGGGCTTCGCACCTCCTTGGCTGTCCTTAGCATCCCCATCGAAGGGTCCTTAGGCACGCATTGGCTGGAGACAAGAAGCCAAAAACGACAAGGGCGGCTGAGGCAGTGGCTAAAGCAATTTTGCCCGCCACTGCCATGATGACGGTGAACACCATCACAACAAGTCCTGGCAAGCAAGTCCTGGAAGCCCTGCGCTCATGCAACGGTTTTTAAGTGGCACTCGCTTTCAACACGAACCTAGCACACCTGAGAACCTCATCCTTCACCACTCTCTTCCTGTTGGAAAGGTGCTCATCAGTCACTCCTGATGCTTTTACAACGCCCTGGCAATGGCTCTGACCAAGCTCGCGCCAATTGTTGCGCAACCCGTCAATCACAAAACGCAGGATGCGTCAGTTCCTACTGTGGATGGACGAAATCCAATTCGCACCACTTTGAAACCATGGGAAACCATTGTTCGTTGGTATTTACCAGGGAATCGAATCATTTCAGGGTTACTTAGGTGGTGCAAAATGGATTTCGTCCATCCACGGTATTGCCTTCCCTGGCAGCAGCGTGTGGGAAATGCCACACGGAGGCCAAAGGACTCCCGCAGGGCCTTGGAAGATATGTGAAGCGCCAATTCGTGGGAGTCCAGGGGTCCAGGGTGACAAAGCATCACTTCCAGTGCAACGAGGCCTGGCAAAGCCCGGCCTAAGAGCAAGTCGTGCCCTGCACCCTGTCTCATGTGATCAGTTGACACTTGGAAGGGTTCGGAACCGAACTAAGAAGGATCTGCAGACTTTCAGTCCTTTTTGTTACGTGAGATCAGTCGTCAAGCCTCGCCAGCGCGGCTGATCCACGTTCCCGCCGACAGCCGCAAATACTCTAAGATCAGCCACTCAGCTTCCCACCAACTGATTGGTGGTGTGGTGGTTCGGAGGCGGCTTCCTTTACAAGAGCCACAGGTTCAAATCCAAATCCAAACCACCGGGCTCCAAACGGTTGCGTGATCCACGTGGCTTGTTTAAAGGAAACACTTGCCCTCCCACCAGCTAACGTGGAAGCGCACAGACCCCTGCAGAAAGACGACTTTCCTCTTGGTTAGTTGGCCTTTTTGCACAAACCCATGTTAGTTGGTGGGAGGGTAAACAAAACAACGCCCGCGCCCCAAGATCCCTTACGGCTCCTAGCTTCCCGTGCCAGCTCGTGTTGTGCGGTTTGCCGTTGGCCTGTGCAGGACCACTCGCGTCACTCCGCCCGTAAACAAAACCGGTGCCTCCTTGTTGGAATAGATGACATAATAGCCTTGCCGAACATCCGAACGGGCGGAACGGGATAGGCCGAAGGGTACTCTTTTTCTGTAGTCTGTTTTAGTAGGGGAACCCTCCCCAAAAAGGGTAAAAGGGTACTACTGGGGGACCTAGATGGGGATTGGGCGGATATGTGGGGGTGCTTCAATTGGAACTTGCTCCTTCCGAAGCCTTCATTGAGGACCCCAAACGTCGGCCTGGCGTCTCACATGGAATATTAGTCAGATCGTTGCCTCAGCTACTGGGCGGCACCAATGGTGGATCAGTGTCGGCTACACGCCACTGTCCGTGAAGGATACAGCACGACAGAACTCTCAAGTTGCGCGCTGCAAGTGAAACCCTTCCTGCAGTTTGACGAGATGCACTCGGTCAAGCAGCCAAGCTGAAATTGTCTACGCCTTCTTCTTCTTCTTACGCCGCGATTCTTCGGACGCTTCCGGGCGTCCCGACCAAAGGCGCAAACCAAAGTGCCAGCATTCATCAGGTGGCCGTGGATCTGCGTTGCTTGCAGGCCTCGCCACGGATTTCGTGCGGAAAGCTCTCCGTTCAACGCTTTCTCCCGAAGTGATGTCCGGAACTTGGGGCAAGAAGTCAGGTGCGAGCACTCCCGGTTTCATGGATTTCCGGGTCACAGCTTTTATCAGTCTAGACCACAAACGTGTCACGCTCATAGGTGTCCTTCTTGGAAAATAGATGGCCCTGGTAAATGATTGAACCATCAGGTAAACCAGGGCCTTCTATTGTTTAAGCAAACCAACCAAAAAGGACACCTATGGTCACGCTATCCTGAAGGCCTTTTGGAAGGCTGCGACGTCTCATATGCCTAGGTGACCCGCCTCCGATCTTCTTCACCAGCACAGCGTTGCCCATGAGAGCCACGTATCCTATCAACCTGCGTTGCGAATGGCTGAAGGCCAACCATGTCCAAGAGCTGCTCACTTCCTGAGCAGATGGGCCCCAAAAAAGTGTCCAAACTGTCCATTTTCCGAACTAAAACGGGTCTTCCTCAGCCGCACCTGTCGGAGTGCCCGAAGTGGCAAATTAAGGACCTGAGGTCTCCGCATGGCTGCAGGGTGGTACCAAAACCACGCCTTCCATGGAGTCACCGCCTGGGGACGAAAATCCGTTTGCAAGGACCCCCGTGCACAAAATCCGACATTCCGCTCTGTGCAATTCAGGACGCCATTGCAAAGCACCTAGAAAACCAAGGCTGCAAGTCAGGGTGAGGTGCGAAAGCTGGTTGTCGCACAGCCGCAGAAACGCGCAAAGCCAATGGTTCAAACGGATAAGTTTCCCAACTCCGGAGCACCTTGGGTCCACACATCCCATCTGAACCCGCCGTCTCTAGCACTTCCTTTTGGTTTCTTTGCGTCATTGCTGCTCCACAGCGCGACCCCACCCAAGCAACGCTGGAGGTCTCCATCTCACTGAGCCCCTCACTCCTGCTGCCAGACATGAGAAGATCACCAGGGCGGGGCCCCAAACCTTTAGCCTCGGCTCCGGAGGCCCACGGCTCCGAAAAAACTCGGCCGGATCTTTCAGGACCGCAGGTCCCCCTGCAACACACACCGCTCGTGGCGAAATACGGGGCTGCGGGTTTGCAAGCCTCGCGGCAAACTTGGGGAGCGCGGATGTGTGCGCTGGTGGGAAAGTGAGCGTTCTGTGCTTAACGTGGAGGGTCCTTAAGTCAGGAAGCAAGCGGCTCAGTTCAGCTTGTGGCGCATGGTCCTTGCCTGGCCTGCCCGCGTTTGACAATTCTAGGGGTAACTTCCAACCATTCTTTCCAGGGATCCTTCTTTCTAGCAAACCACCAAAAACCCTGGGGAAACGGATCCGTTTTTTGAAAAGAACGATGGCTGAAAGGAATGGACAAGGAATCAACCACTAGAACAACAACCACAACCTCGCCCTGCTATGCCCGCATCTGCTCAACCTGCCTGGGCCAGGGTGGCAGGGAGAGTAGGTTCCTGGGCTCAGATGACATGGGCGAGCATTTGTGATAGGGTGCAAGGGAAAAAGGGGTCGGGGAACTTGGTTGACGTTGGAAGGGGAGCAAAAAATTAAGTTTTAGCAGTTAAGTGGATTTGGATTTCAACCACTAAACCACAATAAAGCAAAAAAGGGAAAATGTTCCCCAACAACAACCATGGGAAGGTTGTAGAAAAATAAAATCCAAAGGTTCAGCGAAAAGGTGTCTCAGAGACAGAGGGTAAGGGTATGGCCACTCAAAGACGCTCAATCAGGCTCGAAACTTGGGAGCTAACCGAGACCGGGTGTTGGGGATGAACCCAGGGCTTTTTTTGGAAACCACCAGTTCTTGTTTTCTTCGGGGGTTCCATTTCTCATTCCCTGCCTATCGAACCAGCAAGACAAGGTAAGAAAAGTCAGAATATGGCTCCCATTCTATCGATGCTGTTCCGGGCGCCCAACTGTAAGTCCACCTGCGGGCAAACACGCGCAGCTTGGCTTTCCAGACAAAAAAATCCACCGGCCCCTTCTTCTCTCGTTCAAAGCTTCCGGCTTCGAGCCCGGAAAATCTCAGAACTGGGCTGCCCTCAGATCCCCCGCGATTTCAGTGACTCACTTTGAGTGGGTGAAATGGGAAATCCCTCAACACTAAAAAGATCCAAAAGGCTAAAAGGCTGAGGAACCGGATGGCTGGGAGCACCAAGGCGAACATCCCAGAAGGCAACATGCGCCGAAGTCAAACCGCCTGCGAGGCCATGGCCCTGCCTTCGAGGCCATGGCCCAAACCGAAGCCCGAGGGATTTTTAAGACTCGGCTGTGGTGGTCACAAATGGGGTAACCTCCACATGGCTTGCCTGGGTAAATGGAAAGAAGGGCTAAAACCTGCGGATTTGCGGTCCATATCCGGGCGGTTTAATCTTGACCCATACCCACTTCCGAGATCCCCCGTGCGAGTAAACCTGACGCAACTAAGATCCGCTCATGGCAGTCAAAACAAGTTGCCAAATCTGATGAGACTGATGGGTCCCGACGAAGAATTGCCATCCACTCCAAATGCCTGCGATGACGTGCCGAGGGCCAAATACCACATGCGCACTCACCACACATACCCAAACGCGAACACAAACACAACCACACACACACACACCCACACACCCACACACCCATCCATCCACCCACCCACCCACCCACCCACCCACCCACCCACCCACCCACCCACCCACCCACCCACCCACCCACCCACCCACCCACCCACCCATCCGCACGCCCACCCACCCATCCGCACGCACGCCCGCCCGCCCGCCCGCCCGCCCGCACGCACCCACACACACACACACACACACACACACACACACACACACACCACCCATGGGCAAGCCAATTGCCAGGCCGCTCAAAGAGTCGAGCATTCCTGCTCCGATTGCTTTCGTACAGCCTCCAATGGCTAGCTGATGATTGCTGATCCATGTTGCGAAAGCCGACAAATCATCCCAGAAAGGCGGTGACAAATGCCGTCGTAATCCTGGTTTTAGAAGAACCCGCCCCCACATATGATGCTTTGCTTGTCAGGCAAAACATGGGAAGCCTTGTTGCTCCGAAAGTCCAGAACCTAATGCGCTGTCATGTGCTGAAATAATGCCAATATCTGATTGTTCGGAAGAACCAAGTTAATCAGCGGAATCGTAATTAAAAATGACCCACTAACGGGCGAACCACCCTTGAGTAGGATGGTTCTTCAAATTGATCCACAGTTGACAATGCAAGATCTGAAAGTGCAGAAAGTAGACGGCACTCAACTGCATCGCCAAACAGTGGAAGGAATGTGCTGCATGCTAGCTCTTTCTGAAACGAGAGCAGCCCCCAGCCCGCGCGTGCTACTTATGTGCGAACATGCTGTCAAAGGGGCCCTCGAAACTCCTTTCCTTTCTGGCCCTGTGTCCACTTGGAACGCAAGAGGGGGAGCACTTGGAAAGGCCAATAGGAAATAAACTTAATAGTAGTTGGGGGATAACTGTAGCACATCACACAACATTTAGAACACAAACAAAAGGTCGGTGGGGGAAAAAAAACACGCGGAAGGCGGTTGGATAACTGTTCGGCGGCAGCAGCCTGGAAATGCTTGAAACCATGGCACACAATGTCGGAAGAAGGCAATGAGCAACAGTACGGGTCCAACAGCGCAGTTGGTACACTGTTGTTTGCGTCGCAGTTGTCTTGTTGGAAAAAAAGGGTTTGGCTTCCGCAAATGACCGTCTTGAGGGCCTTCTCGGAGACCTCCACACGAACAAGACTTGAACACAGCGGCTCCCTGGCCCCCTTCCGCCGCTTTTGCACCCAGCCGCGCTGCTCACCGTCCTGCCACAACAACTTGGACAAGAAAAGCATAGTCACCTTGGCTGAAAACCGGGCCAGTCGTCAGGCCAGTTTTTTCACGAGATCAAAGGAACCGGAATCAGAAAGGGGTTTTGGAGGGCCTCCCAACCTCCTTCCATCCGCCTAGCCATCAAACACAGGAGTGCAAACGTTGCTCACGGGACGAGTCAGAAAACAACTCTCAACAAGTCAACAAGCACTTCGTCTGAGCTGAATCGATTCACAAATCAACAAGCCAATTGGCTTGAGTTACTATACTGATTCTGACAGCTTGTCTACGTGTTGCTGCTTGGACATGTATCAGCCTCTGTGTGGCTGTGATAGGAACATGCTAATACTAGGCTAGGTGCCAGTCGGAGTTCGCAAAAAACCCGATAATATGAGGGACAAGAACGCGCCGTATTTCAAATGGATGAAACCGCCCGGCCTGCGCTGGTGTATAGAAGTGAAGCGGGACGCCTGGGATCAAGGGATCAAGGGATCAAGGGATCAAGGGGCGTGGGTGGTGGTGGTTTTCATTTGGGACGCAAGGGGAATGCAGCAGCCAAGGTGCCTAGCTACTGTCTTGGGGTAAGGGCCTTTACCACGAACTAGAGTGAGGACCCCTCATGTGTCAGCAGCCACCACACATATGCCAACCCCACTTTCCATCCGGAACAACATGTGCCTGCCAAGACTTCACGGCAGCAGGTGGGAAACCAGTCCAGCCCAGCAAACCAGGAAAGCAATGGCAACTTTAAAGACAGCCAAGCGCGTCCCGGAAATGTGCACTGGCAGAAGAAAGAAAACCCCTGCCGCGCAGGGCAAAAAAGCGCAACAATGCAATCGTTTTCCCACAATTCTAAGATTTTAACGGTGGAAACGGGACCGTCATGCCACAATCTTGCCACCCAAGGCAATTACGAACCTCAAGCAAAGCCTCTTTGAGGCCAACTTTCCGAACATGCGATTCCTATACAAATAGCAGACAAGGCCGTGCTCAAACTCATCGCAGGGCCGCGGGGCTTGGACAACAACCAATTAACAACCACCGCCACTACCTCCACCGCATCTGCGAAATACATCTAGCGACAATCTACTGCCACTACTTCGGATCGCTTTCCCCAAGGACCGACTGCTGGATGCCGTTGGATCACTTTCGCCCCAGTTGGGGAGGTGGGTTGGCGGCGGAGAAGATGGAGCGCCTTGCGCCGTACTCGCTTTTTGTTTTGGGGGGGGGCGACGCCCTCCAGCAAGCAAGGCGAACCTTGCAGGAACATGTTTCAAGCTAGTCCTTTTACATTGTGCTAGCATGCGTGGCCGCCAATTCCAGCCTGTGTCAGCATGTTGTCGCGCTCGTCAAACAATGTCGCTCATACGCAAGTTCAACAAAAAAACTCGGGCTGGAAAGTGAAAACACCGACAGGGCGATCTGGCATTGAGCTCGAACATTCTTTGCGCGGTGGAACTACGCCACGCGTAGAAGCGAGCGCCAAAGCGCTCGCCGCCCCAAAGAGGCTGAAGAAAGGCACTCCTGCGGGTCATGATCAAAATGGGGTTCCCAAAACCGGGGATCCCAAACCACCTCGGATCTGGTCGCTTGGCTTCAAACAGAGAAAGCCCGCCCCGACTCTTGGCCCAGTTCGGACATGCGCCTCTCGGAAATGTCGCGCCACCTCCCCGGTGCAGCCGCCCTGACGTCATCTTGCATTTGGCCCTACGTGAGAGGTGTGGATGGACGAAATCCGTTCGCACCAGTTTGAAACCATGGGAAACCAGTGCTGGTTGGTAATTACAGGTGAATCATCATTCCAGTGATTCTTGGGTGACTCGGGTGGTGCAGGATTTCGTCCATCCACAGTAGGTGTGGGGGAAGTTGCCCGACTTGGTACCAATTCCACTGCCCTCCTCACTTCCCTGATTATCTGAACTCGCGTTTTAAGATCTACAACTGGCCACCCCTCTACAGCGGCGCTATAAACCATGACATTCTCTCACGCCTTAGGTTTGCAGGGAACGTGTGCCGTGAGGCGAATCAACACGGGCCCCGGCCTATGATCAAAGGCGGGAAGGCGAGGGTTGCAACTATAGAAACCGTAGCTGGGCTGGGTTCCAAAGGGTCCAACGACTCAAGGCAACGAAATTAATTTACAAAGCA